CCGTTTGGGCCCCTAATTGTGACCCACACAAAAAAAAAAAAAAAAAAAAAAAAAAACTGCATATCAGTTTGATTGTTATCAGGCTATCATATTAGTAGTAACTTCACCTTGCCAATGACAGAAACTTAGAACTTGAAAAGCAAATCTTTGTTAACTTTTTTTTTTTTTTTGGAGACGTTTTCGCTACACGGTGTGTGCGCTCACCAGACAGAGCGAGACATAGAGACAGAATCTTTTGAACCTGTGCCATGTACAAATCCAAGTAAATGTGAGTTCCCCTGTTACATATTCCTCATGCTGCTTAGAAAAAAAGATGCAGTTAAACTAATAGCAAGGCCAGCTTGAAAATAGTGGGAAGAATAATCACCTAGCTGAGTCAGAAAACAGATGACTGTAAGGTGAGTGAGTGGATACAAGGTGATCTTCAATTGCATTTTCTCTCCAATAAAACGCCTCGGTGACTTTTTTCCTCCAAGCAGTTGAGTGTCTATCTCTCACACTTTCCTTCCTGATGGAAATTTGATGATCATTTGCCTTAACAAATTTTAGAGACATTTTGAAAAAAAACAATGAAATAATGGTTAGGAAAGCACTTTTTAAAATTCTATATACATACGATGCTGGCACCATCTATTTGTGAAGTTGTGGACAGAAACAACTCGGTATACCTACATGTGAAATCCCTGACCAATTTAACCCTAAATGGGGGCTTCATGTCAAGCACTGATAAATTTCAACATTAAACAGATACACATACACGAACAAAAAATAGGTTTCCGAGAAAGGTCAAATTATCACTCTCATACAGATATGAAATAAATACGTGTATAAGAATTTATTTAACTTGTATGATGTGAGGAAACCAAGCAGATGTTACAACTCATTCAAAGAAAAGGTGAAAATGGCACATAATGTATACTCAAGGGGATTTCAAAAAGCTTGTGAGAAAAAAGAATTAAAATACAAATTAATTTTGGTGCATAACATTTTGAAGTCCATGAATTTTTTTATTTTTATAATACACATTTTGATGAACTTGTTGACAACTCCTCATTACTAATGGAACTCCGAGATCAGTTGTAAATGGGGACAAAACTGGAAGGAAGTGGATGGAATAGTAGGGGGTGGAGGGAAGTCCATAAACCACTACCAGACAGGACAGAATCTGTGTATCTGCCAGTTACCTACAACAAACAAAAGGTTGCAAAAACACTCAAATATAATGTCTAAAGTTAGAATGTGATGAACCTACAGGGTATGCTTTAGAACATGCATTGTTTTACTTTGCAACTCAGACATTTTAGTACATACTCAGGAAATTCAGACTTTTCATATTTTTTGTTTGAAGACAGCCATGTGTTCCTTTTTTCTCAAATCAATTAACTAATTAATTTATTTTTGTGTTTCTTATATATTTTACTTCCCCCCTTTGATCCCTCCCTCTCAATCTCTGCCATTCTCCACCCTCTTCCCACACTGTCTCTGTTGTCCACAGTTGCTCTGCATGCTTTTATATTGTTCAATATTTCAGTTTCTGCCATAGAGTGCAAACATTTAGCGTATATTAAGTGTGAACATACAATGCCTCTTTTTCATAGTTTGGCTCCCTTTGCTTAGCAGTAAGTCTTCTGTATTCATCCACTTTCTATCAACTACCGGGGTCTCATTGTTTTCTGTGGCTGAGTAGTGTTCTGTAGTGTATATGTTCCACACTTTTTCAATCCATTCATCTGTTCGTGTACATTTGAGTTCGTTCCATTTCTTGGGGGCTATCCTGGTGCTACGCAGCACTGTTTAGTGGTTGCTACAGAAACCACCTGGTTTGTATATATTTACAAAATCTGATATATTTACTATGTGGTCCTTACAGAATACGTTTGTTAACCCCTGCTTTGAATGAATACATAGAATTGTAAGTCATATTTGGTTAACTGCATTTACATCACTAGTGAACATACAGTTAGACTGGCATTCCAACATCAATGGGATTTTTCCTAGCCACAGATATTTGTCTCTAGTAAGCCAAAACTATTATTATCATTGAATGTAACATGCCACACAAACCCAGCTGCTATCAACCCTTTTAATTATTTTGAGTCCTGTTAAATGTTTTATTTTTAACAAGTTAACAAACAAAGATATTGTTGTCTGAAATTTATTAATGTGTTCATCCAACTGTGGAAGCTCTACTGCAAATACTGAAAAGGTTGTGTCCTTAACCTAACCCTCCCTACTCGGCCTCCTCCAAACCCCTTTCAGTGAGGCCCTACTCATAGACCTTCTTTTCAAGAGCAAGAATCCTGCTAAACTGGTTTAATGAGAGTCCCTCACTCTTCATATCTGATCACCCTTCCTAGTTGATCAAATCCCTCATCTTCCACCACTTCCCAGGCATTATCCAATCACCCTGACCTGCCTTCAGCAAGATTTCTGTCAAATTTGTTATCTAGAATTCCCTTACCCTGAAGTTTTCTCTTAGAAATTTTCCAACCATTCCACAAAAAAAGAAAGAAATTTTCCATTCATTAACACCCACCTGTTCCTTAGCTCAAAATGTCTGCTTTTCCTTGTTTTTGAAATTGAGCCCAATCTCTCTAGCTTACTACAAAACTTCATTATAGTAATCATCTCTTTTTGAATAAATTCTTCCTTACCATCTTTATTAAGTGTCAGAAGAAGTTTTTTCCTTAAGAATAGGCATATTTAGGTAACTCATCAATCATATGATGGCATGAATTGTATATCTTCACGTGTACGGAAGGTATTTGAACATTTCTGTTATTGTTACCTCCCTGGGTTTTCCATTTAAATCAATTTCATTTTACTTCAGGAGAGAAAAGAGAGTTCTAAAATTGCTACCAAAGATGTCACATAGGTTTTGAATTTAGAATGAAGACTCTTTGAGGCAGCTGAAAAACTGTTCCACATTCCTCCAATTACTCCTAACCAACACAATTTACTTGTATAATTTAGAGTAGGCTAGTTGCTGTAAATACATGTGCAGAATAAAGTATTTTAATTTGTTCTCTGTTGTTTAATAGCTGACTACTAACAATTTTAAAGAATAGAGATTTACTTAGCTCCCGGGTGGCTTTTTGTTTGTTTGTTTTCTGAGATGTTTTTGTTGTTGGCCATGTGTGCTTGTGGGAGAGACAGAGAGACAGAAAGTAAGAAGTTACCCCCCAGGGGAGATGGCCACACAGCAATCCCTTCTCTTCCATTCTGTTCCCAGGATTTAGGGCATGCACACACGCCCAGCATGAGTTTCAGGCTGCTGGGTTCGGGACTCAAACCACAGTCAGTCACATGAGAGTCCAACACCCCAATCACTACTGACCCCCTAGCTCATGGTTTTGGAAGCTCAAGACCAAGGGGGCACAACTGGCGAGGTTCTTTTTGTCCTGGTAACTCTGCATAGTTCTACTACAGGCATTACACAGTGAGAGACGGAGCAGACCATGTGTCAGTGTCTTTGCTCTTTTTATAAAGCTACCAGGACTCAATTATGGGGCCCCACACTGATGACTTTATTCCTAATCATCTTCCAAAGACCTCACCTCTTAATACCGTAAGTGAACTAAGTTTTACCCCTTCAACAGCCTTTCCTTGGCTCACTAAATTTCAGTGTATTAATTTCTTGAAGATGCATTCAAACCATAGCATAAATGAGTGAGTTAGCAGATGGTCAACACCTACTCAAAGTCCCTGCCATTTGCCTCATTTAGCTTCCAAGTTCACCCTATGATTATGCAAAAAGGTTATGGAATAGTGACTCATAGAAAGCTTTGATGGAGCTAGTTTGGAAGAAGCTCACTTCTGCTCAGTCATTACCCACAACTCAATAATGTGGATGTTTCTAACTGTAAGATGAGCCCAAAAATGTGGTTTCTATACTCAAATCTTCTAGTATGTGATGGGGACACAAGGAGGTCTCCTAAGTCATAGATGAATTTTTAACTTACCCAATAAAGCTTGAGATTTCTATAACAGCAACATAATTTCTCTCATTAAACAAGTAGCAATGCTGATGTTGTAAAAAAAAAAAAAAGACTGGAGTGGAAAGATCATGACAGGAAAATCATTGTTATGATGGTACAAATAACATTTTAGGCTATGAGTTTTGGTTTGGTACTGTAGATGTAATGGGGAAGAAAGAAACCTTGGTAGATCCCTGGTAGATAATTATCCATGGACCTCTTGGGTTTCTGCATGTCCAGTGGTCAGAGGGCCAGGTTGCCTTTGATTTTTTTTTTTTTTGGACAATCTTTTCATAAAAGCTTGTAGAGTAAATAGCCTTAGAAGACAGTCATAGTATCTTACTCAGGGGAAATGGCAAGTCTGTTTATAGCCTTGGAAGACAGTACTATCTCCCTCTGGAGAAAAGGGTGGCCATGATTATGGCCCATTATGGAAAATCCGGTATCACTAATCTTCAGGTTTCACTCTTGTAATACAATCCAGTGCCTGTGCAGATCCGTTGTTCCACTTTGTGTTGCCTCAAGGAAACTGGATTTGGGGAAACAGCACAAGATCAATAATGCTATTTAGGCAACTTCAATTAATGTGAGTAATAAATTATGCTTTAACTCTGACCCAAGAAACTTACGTCCTCTGCAAGCAACCACAAAACCGTGTCAGGCAAGCATGTTATCTTTTAAGTAGGGTAAAACCTCAGATTCTTCACAGCTCTTTACAAGAAGATGCCATCATAAAAACAGAAAAAAGAATGTCATTGAGAGAGAAAGGAAGGTCTTTCTTTGATTTTTTTTTTTTTTACCTACAGCCAAACTTATTATGAACCAGTATGTAGAATAAATGAACCAATATATTATTTAAAAGCTTACATCCATAAAAGCTTAGAAGCAGATGATGGGAACATGTTTCTTACTATGTATTCTTGTTATGGAGTTCATCAGTTACAGAAGATTACTCATTTAGACTAATTCAATTATTTTTATCTTTAGAATTTTCTACTATACATTCATATATA